ATCCTGGTGTGGGATGTTGGTATATAGGCTGGTAATGTCCATGGTGGCTAGGAGTGTGTTGCTGGGAAGGTGGTCTATGTTTTTAAGTTTCCGTAGCAAATCTGTAGTGTCTTGTACAAAACTTGCTCTGTGGGTGATAAGCGGTTTTAGGATTGATTCAACGAAACCTGATATTTCCTCAATATGGGGACACACTTGTGTTATTCTGGATTTTAGGAAGAAGCAGAAAGACACTGTGTTCTCATTAAACCTTTATTGTAGCAACTAACCTTTCACCCAAAATGGTTGACTGACCCCTTCCTGTGGATGACATCACTTTTTAGTAAGGGAGTTAACCCTTACTACTACAACATTAAGGTGAAATTTTTCCCAGTTAATATGCTATAAAAGATTGATTTGTGTACACTCGGGCCGCATCTACACATTCATTAATGCACATTAGTTACTGTGCATTTAATTTAGTACTTTGCTTAATTAAGTACTAAGTAGATGTATTATTGGGCAGTGAATGACTTTTTAGTGACGCTGCTGAACAGTAGCCTAATAATATTGCGCAGTAGCATATTAGCACTGTCCATGCTATGATACGCTACTGCACAGTGCTTTTAGGCTATTGTGCAGTAAGCATCTCCTGTAGACGCGGCCCTATAACAAAAATACATAGTTCCATGATAACTTTTTAATTTTAATAGAACAGTTGGGAATGGGTTATTTTGAACTAAATGAGCAGTGTAATTTTTTTTAGAAGAAATGCTCTGTACAGAGAAAAGGAACAACATTTTTACTGACTGCCAAAGCACTCAACCTAACTTGACTGATCCAGTCTATGAAACATGTAGTTCATATTGAAGCTAAGCACAGCTCTTTGCACAGTTAGCTCCGTAATGGCAACATGATACCCATCTGTGCAAACCTTTCCCTTTTAGATGCTTTTATCTAAGCATTGCACATTTTTCTAATTTAATAGAACCTGAAAGACAGAGTTGATTGGACATACAGCAGAATCAAATACAAAAATAAACTTCACAATTTACAGGAAGTAAATTTAGATATATAGTTATTTTTCCTTTAACTTTGCCCGGCTCAAACTTTGCCTGGGTCTTCCCATGAGTATGATTGTGTAGATTAGTATGAGTATGATTGTGAGACCTTGGCTGACAGCGAAGAATTCTTGGATTCAGTGCATGTCCATGTTGCCAAAAAAAAAAGAACATAATAAAGGTTCAGTAGCTGGTCTAAAGTACCCAGATTTTAGGATATTTTTTTCTGAGAATTATCAGTTATGTATATGGAACTCCTTCCATTTCAAGGTGGGTTACACAGGTGCAAATAACAGTGAACTTTGGCTCATCTCTAGTAGCAAATGGCTGACAACATTCTATATGTTTTATTTTCTATGTCTTATTTCTATGTTTGGGAACCATTGAATAAGGCAATAAGAGACTTAAGTCTGACCCTTGCTCCAGATGTATCCTGAGGCCCGCTTAGAGTCAACCCAACCACAGATGGATTTGTGCTCACTATGACTATGGAGTCAAATGTGACTGGATATGCTAATTGCATCACATGCCTTATGTTGGACATAAACATTGTTGTGCCTTAACCATGCTAGCGGGATGAGCTGTTTAAGTTTGGGTCAGCCTTTAACATTGACCCTCCGTGGAAAGTTGGTTCCATAGATCCAGAAAGATTATTGATCACACCAAGTCGTGTGGTTGAACGTTTTGCTTTCATCTAATGGTATGCAATACTAATGTGTTCTTTTTTGTTCCTTTACAGGCTGCAAAAGGATAGAACATCTAGATGTTGTGTTTGTGATTGATGGTTCTGGAAGCATAAGTGACTCAGAATACCAGACTATGAAAGACTTCATGATCACCTTGGTGAACAAATCTGATGTTGGCCCAGACAGAGTTCAGTTTGGAGCTGTAAAATATTCTACCACACCAGAAACGTTTTTCCACCTTAATAAATTTAGTACAAAATCTGAGATTGTTGAGGCCATCCAGGCAGACAAATCAATTGGGTTAGATACTTACACTGCTGCAGCACTTAGCCATTCAGAAACTCTATTCACTGAGAGACATGGCAGCCGCATAAAAAAGAGAGTTCCACAGGTTCTTATAGTGATCACCGATGGTGAATCACATGATAAAGACAAACTTAAGGACACAGCCAAAAGGCTAAGAGACAAAGGAATTCTTATCTATGCAGTTGGAATACAAAGAGCAAACCGTGAGGAACTATTGATGATGGCAGGAGCAGAAGACAAATGGTTCTATGTTGATAAATTTGAGGGACTCAAAAACCTCTCCATGAATGTAACAGATGATATATGCCAGGTTTCACAACCAAGTAAGTACCACTACAGCTAGCTGGGTGTAAAATTCTTTTTTTTTTTAAGTTGTCCTTTAGGAACATGGGATGTTTCTTTGTTTCTTTATTTGAATCTTTGATAAATTATATGGATTATTACTGATCTAGTTCAGGTTCAAAACTTTCTTGAAGGTAAAATTAGAACAGTTGATTCTTTAATATGATAACTTTTTACTTATAGATAGCTGCATCAATGTTTTAATGTTGCTACTTATTAAAAACAGTTGTTTGATTACACATTAAGGCATTTGGGAACAAATGTTTATATAACTATGTGATTTTATACTAATTCATGATCTGTGCTCAGGAAATAGCTAAGCACAAACAGACCAGGGTTGTTGGAAATGGTAATTAATACATGATAGGGAGCTATGGGAATTAAAGTAGTGGAAATGTATGTTGGGACAAACTTCCTGTCTTGAGCTGTTTAAACACATGTACTCCTGCCATAATTGATTGGGCAATTACCCAGAGTCATCCAAAGTAAAGCTGGTCACAAATTTTCTTCTAGAAATATTAAACAAAAGTTTTATAAAAAAAATTCTGATTCCTTATGGCCAACATGTTTCATTAGAAAGATGGTTGGTTCTGTAAAATTTCCCCAAGTCTGCTGAAGACCCGTGAATGCTGGAAGCTATGGCTAAGAATGCACATTTTACTGGGCAGCTGGAGCATCTGGGACACTTGTAGTTCACCAGAAGATTTGAGCAGCATGCAAACAAACATTGGTTTTGGTCCATTTCAGTAAATATCATGGGAAACATGATAGGAAACATCACAACCATAGGTCTTCATTCCCTTGTACCATGTTTGGTTATTGACATGTCTGCAGAATGACTGTAATATGACTGTATAATGCTTACTTCTGTTAGTGGGGAATTCCACTGTAGTGATGTTACACCTGCTTTACACTCATTTCACGTCTTTTACACGTTATAGTTGCATGTTACAGTTGTAATTACAGAAAAAAACAAGATAGTGGAGAATTACACTTGCATTTCTTACCTTCTCAAAAGCCCTTTCATATTAGAATGTTTTACTTTATATGAATATTCTGGTTTACTATCCTGTATAGATGTTTTAATTATGTATTGCAAATACATTGAGCAGGTCCATTTACTGTTTGTGAATCTATCCCCTATTCCTGAATATCTTACATGAATGCACTTCAAAGTTTAAATTGTTCATGAATTGCTCACTAAGACTTTTTATTGTTGTTGTGTGACTGGACTCATGTGTCACATGTTCAGTTCCATGATTATCCAATCATGGAAAGTATTTAACAGGAATGATAGATGAAAGTATTTAACTTTTAATGAAAGTATCAATGTGAATCAATGAAAGTATTTAACAGGAGAATGATAGATGATGAATAGTATATATCAGTATAACAATATAGTATCAATTCACTATATTGATTGACATAGTATCAATCAATATAGTATCAATTTACAAATAATTATTCATCTGAGATACCATTTCAAAATTTCTAAACCTTACAAATTTCCTCACTGTTCCCCAGAAGTTGTCAGAAAATATTTTTAAGTAGTAAGGAATATAGTCCCATACCCAATAATCTCTTGGTTATATTATTCAACCAGTATTTCTGACTAGCCATAGCCACAGGCTTTGCACTGTGCCTACAATAAACAGGAATGAGTGCAAAAATTGCTTGACTGTAGAAGCTGAGTGATCTGTGTGCCATGAATCAAGGCACAGCCACCACAGTTGTTAGTGTTGGGTACTAGACCATGTGTATCTTAAGTTATCTTAGGTCATACACACACAATGGGTAGAATCCAGCTACCTTGCATATCTGTCCAGCTCCATCTCACCCTTTCCTGTGACAGCTGATATTGTAAGACCTGTTTAACATTTTAAATAAATTATAGACCTATTAGTTAGATAGAATAAATGACAAAGTCGCTCAGATTTGAATTTTTAAAACTATATACCACCTCTGCTCCTCCTTGTTTTGAAAGCTGGTTTTAGTTTAGACATCTACAATTCCCAAAATGCATGTTAATTTTCTTAGGGATGTATTTGGTAGCTGTGTTGGTCTGAGACAAAAAGTAAATGAAAAACTGTAGAACTCTTGGCTCAGAGATGATACCTTTTATTAGACCAACTAAGAAATCGCAAAAAAATTATCTTTTTCTGCAAGTTTTCAGGCTCAGGCTCTGGGAAATTAAAGATAGTAAAAAGTCCCCATAAGTAGGAATTAAACTTCATTTTTGCAAAGAGGAAGCTGAAGATGGAAGTCTGATCCTCTAGGTTAATGAGATTGTCTTTGTGAGCTGCTCTTTGTTGTGCAGATCAGGCAGGATTCCTTCCCTGGTGGTGTCAGAAGGCAGACAGGCAGGGAGGTGTAGAAATCTTTCTTGCTGTTCAGCAATAAAGTTTAAATCCAAAATCAGCTAAAATTCAGCATCTTTCATGTTTCAGGGATCTATTCATTAGCTGTGCTGGTCTGAGACAAAAAGAAATACAAATCTCTAGAACTCTTGGCTCAGAGATGATACCTTTTATTAGACCAACTAAGAAATCGCCAAAAAAAAAGATCTTTTTCTGCAAGCTTTTGGGCTCGCATGCCCAAAATTAAAATTTGTTAATTTATTTATTTTTTTTAATTTAATTTGTTCATTTTCTTGTATTCTTTCTCCTGGCAGCTCACTTTCAACCTACAGTGATCTACAAGTATTGAACATGCAGAGAGTTTAGGCTCGTACAGTTTAGGTGATAAGATAGCTGGACAGGAATCTAGAAACAATTTGTAGTAAGAGGAGAGAAAAAAATAATTCAAATTCCCTTTTATATAACAACATATTAGAAATTGACCAATGAGACGTACAAAATCATCAAAGCAAATTCATGATCTAGTACCTGTAGCCCCTTCTGTGCTTGGATTATTTTGTCTTTATTTATTTAAAATTGGCTTTTGTTTTAAACTTGGTTTTTGTCTCTCAGCTTTGGGCACCCTGCACCTGCAGGCCTGACCCTGCATGGAAGTTAATAGGAGCAAAAATGGGCATCTTTAAGTAATAACTTAATTTTCCTCTATCTTCTGCAGAATGTGAAAATCCAGTAGACATTGTTTTCTTGATGGATGGTTCTAAAGGTGTCGCTGAAAAAGACTTCGTGGCTACAAAGGACTTCTTGATAAATATACTCACTGCATTCGATGTTACTCACAATGTCCAAATTGGCATCGCCCAGTATGGTAACAGATTCCAAGAAGAGTTCAGCCTGAATGTTTTTCCAAACGAAGAACTAAAAGAAAAAATTGAAGGCATTCAACAAATGAAAGGACGTCGAAGATATATCGGTTCTGCACTTGAGAGAGTGCAGCGCTACTTCAGGCCAGGAAAAGGCAGCAGAATAAATGAAAATATCCAGCAAGTTTTACTGGTATTTACTGGTGGACGATCACGTGATAGAGTTTCTAGAGAAGCAAAAAACCTGAGGAGGAAAGGCATTGAGATATATGCTGTAGGAATGGGAAAAGGTCGTGCGCAGCTTAATCGGATAGTTGGCACGTCAGGCAGAAAATACACAGTTGATGATTTCAGTGACTTAAAGACCATTAAAAAAAGACTAGCGGATGATATTTGTAACTCGCCTGATAAAGCAAGTAAGTCTTCTTGAACAAGCTACTTTTAGGCCTCAAGCTGTTAATTATGTGCCACAATTATAGAGTGCCTCTATGTGTGTTGGTATCCTCTACACTTGATAGGGTGCCCTAAAACATAGAATAGAAATATTTTTCTAATTCACATAAAGAAAAATAGGTGTGTTAAGTAAATATTTGAGAAGGGCCTCATCTCAAAGTCTGGATCCGGCCACATTGAAAAAAGCAGAAAACTGACATTTCAATTCTGACTTTTTCCTTCCACCTCAACTCTTGACTGTGGGGTTTTTGGGTTGGGGTTTTTTTCGTGTGTTTTTGTTTGTTTGTTTTTTGTGAGAACAAACAAAGTCCTATTTTACTATTAATTCTTTTGGGGAGAGCTAAAAATCAAGTCAGGGTTGAAGTGCCTAGTTTTATTTTTTAATATTTTTAATGGGATTTGAAAATGTATTGTTTTCATACAGTCATCACTTTAAAAAAAAATTTTGTTCATAATTTATAATACTTCTTAATATTCAGCCTGGAGTGAGCATGAAAAAGTTTATTCAGAGATTAATTTAAGGAAGTTAAGCAGCTGAACTGTGGTGATAAAACATGTTAGAACTGAGCAGGCAGGTCTACACAAGGCGCTTTACTTTGAAGTAGTGTAGTTTACTGTGCAGTAAGCAAATGCGTGTGTACGTGCATATGCTCACTGCACAGTAAACCTCACTAATTGTGAGTAAATTTGCTACCTGCAAATGCAAGTAGCAAATTTTACTCATAAGTACCTAATGTGTAGATGCTTGACCAGGAGCAAATCTAGTCCTGCTCAGCTGGCCACTAGTAGGTAGGAGATAGCTCCCTGCCACTGGGTGCTGCCTGCTGCTGGGGTGGGCTCCGCCATCGGAGCCCAGGTGGGGATTATATCCTCCTGCCCTGGCACATGGAAGCTCCAAGTCCCCCGCTCCAAGATCAATCAGGGAGCAGGCGGCTAGGAGATCCTTATCTCTCAGCAGCAGCCCAATGGGCATGGGGCCGGCGCTGAGAAATCCTTATGTCCCAGCCCCAGCCCTGCGACCATGGAGCTCAGGCTGGGAGAAAAGGATCTCCCAGAATCGGACCCGCAACCATGGAGCTGCCACTGGAAGCAAGCTCCCCACTAAGGAATCTGCTCCCCACCAAGCCATGGACCTGCCATGGAACCTGCTCCCCACCAAGCTCCATGCTCGTAGAGTTAAGTGGAGAGCAAGCTCCCTAGCCCCTGCCCTGCCATCATGGAGCAGAGGCTGGGAGCTGTCCTGGTCAGGGGCAGGTCCCACCTGTGCACCCCAGTCGGGTGATTAAAGCATGGGGCTTGGAAAGAGCTGCAGGGTGGGACAGGCCCCAGCCTCCTCCTCCATTCACCGGTGGGGCAGAGAGTAGCAAGCCCTCCACTGGGCAGGGAATCCCCACCCAGCTAGTTGCTCCACTGGCAGGTGGGGCACGGGGCTGGGATCTGCTCCTCCCCTGCAGCTCTTTCCAAGTCCCCTGTCCTGATCAGGGAGCCATGGCTGGGAGCTTCCTGCTACTGGGGCAGGGGGAACATTGTCCCCACCCCAGCAGTAGGCAGCCCTCCTGGGGCAGGGACAATGTCCCAGCCCTGGCCAGCAGAAAGCTCTCTCCTGGCCCAGTGCTCCCTGCCAGCCTCTGGGCTAGCACCCAGGGGGAGCCTCAAGTTCCCCCTGGTGGTGGCAGGGGCCTGTTGCTGGGCAGCAGTAAGTGGGACCAGTTTGTTGCTAGGAGTAGCAAATCTTCTCCAATATCCCTGCATGTGCAGACACCTGTCCAGGAACATTCACTCACATGTAGTTTATTCACAAGTAAGCTGATCTCAGATCAAATACATGTGTAGATGTGCCCAGTATTAACTATAGCAGTCACTGTCAGTGATAGATAGAATCCTGTTTTTCAAATTCTGTCCCTTCTATTTTCCATTGAACTGGTTCTTAAATACCTGTGTCTTTCTCAATGTGTCTAGGCATGTCTACACAAGATTTTACTGCAGTTGCCTAATTAGCTATACAGTAAACATCTCAGCATCTACACACAAAGTGCTATTAGGATGGAGTAAAGTAATTAACTCTGCCATAGGTTAGTACTATGGCAGAGTTTTTTACTCTGCAGCAAAGAACATGTAGGTGCTGATACGACTGGCTGGGGCACAAAGATGCTTCAGTGCATGGACTTTCTGCCAGCTAGTCCTATACTGAAGCATCCTTGTGTCCCAGCCAGCCCCTCCACAGCACATTGAGCCAGGGGGGAGCAGCTCTGGACTGATAAGATGACCTCCTGAGTTCTTGCCAGCTAGAGCTGCTCCAACCTGGCTCAATGAGTAGCAGTCCTGGGTCCACGTTCAAACAGTATGTGCAGGAGCAATAAACTCCAGAGCAATACGCATTAATTGTACATGTAGATGTGCCCTCTGTCTTGTAGAATGTAACTTATAAATTTCCCTA